TTATAAATAATAAAATAATTACCTTGGGACCAAAGACGAGAAATATTGTAACCGAAGTTGACAACTGAGTGCGAAGAAAGCCAAGGGCATACTTCATATCTGGACCCGCATGAGGGAAGATGAAGAGACTATAAAAATGTTAATACATCTCCAATGGCTATTTTTAGAAATTTATTACAATAAAAAATCATAGACTCACTGGATAGCAATCATTGTGGTATTCACAACGGCGATGTTGTAAATAGCGTAACTGATGAGTCGAGCCTCGTTGAAGAGGCTCTCAGCATTCCGGACGTTGTAGCAAACCCGAATGCCCCAGGCAAGAAAGAGAATTTCGCCTGGAACATTTTCCTCGTTTAAATCCCACTAATCTACAGAAAAATACGTTGAAATCATTTGTCATCTGAGTTACAAATTACCAATTGCTAAACTATGATCCCACCAGTTGTATTCACATTGATAAAACTCTAAACCCTGACCGTCTGCGATGACTTTGGCATCGGGAGGCGCACTGAGGGTCCAAGTGCCTAGATAAATCAGCATCACCAGGAGAACCGGTACCATCCACTGCAGGAGCTGTTTGTCAGTGAGTTTGACTTTGTGTGCACTCTTAACGCGATACGTCAGTGATACTCTGCGAACAGGGTGAACGCTCTAAATTTTATTCAATAATATTAATAATAATAATTACCCCTCAAAATATTATAATGTAATTACATTACTCCGCGAAATTAGTAACCCGAAAAATGTTACAAGTCGAGATATTACGACATCATTATAGTATTTTTTTAAATATTACAAATGAAAGGATTATGATATAAATTGTTTTCAGTGTAGAATTAATATACTGGCAAAATCTCGTTGCCTTCAATTATTTTTTAAACAATATCCCTAAGTGCAGTAGATTGTTCTGATTCGCTTGAGCGAGCTGGGGATTACTTTTGTGGACGTCAAGAAATCGATATATTTTGCGTACCATACTAAGTACGAATTCCTGAAAAAAATAAATCGCGGAAAAAACAGACGCGTATTAATTTTCCTATGGTCTATTATTTTGAGTGGGTTGAAAACACATTTTGGATGTGTGGACTATTTTTTTGTGGTCTATTTCTTCTGTGTACCATTAAGTACTGCCTGAGAATTTCTATGGATTGAATTCATCAGTGAACCGGTGGAGGGTGTCAGCCTTTCGAAAAATATCTCTTAATCTAAGAGAGATAGCGAAAATTTCCTCATGACCTCTTTTGTATAATAGAATGAAAACTGCAAAAAAGTTCTTACAAACATTTCGCTATCTGGCACAGAATCCGAGATATTCCTCGAAAACCTTCTAATGATATTATATATACTTTTACTATTCACTTATAGAAATATCCCCAAAGCTAGAAATAAAATGGAGAAAAGTTTGAATTACCTCCAGGTCTTCATTAAAAGTGCTGTATAGGAGACGCAGAACCCCAAGTGCCTCGTCCACTTTGTAGCAATGCAGGAATATAAATCTAGCACTGGAAAAATGGCAGCCATCTGAAATTGGAAAAATTTAATTGTATTCCCCGATGTTTGTTGCGATTTCCAAAGAAAAATTGAAGAATAAATACCTCGAGGTACATTATGGCACAACCAAGGAGTGTGATGGAGAGAAAAATTGGTGAGGCAACTTTGAAAACTTTGAGCTTACGATGCTGATAGACGTAGACGATAAGGAGAACTGCGCAGCAAGCACAGAATACCGAGAAAGACAACAATGTGATCCTACAATTACAAATTTAAGAACAAATAATCAATTATTGCAATAAAATATTCAAATCCTATCATGTAATTTTCAACTCGAGAAATCCTTTCATTCCGATTATCCGAATTATAAACAGAACAATTAAACTCAATCGGTAGATTATAATTTCACGAAGTAATTACGATAAAATGGATAACTAATAGTTAATTAGTTAATTATTTAATTTAAAAAAATAATTATTTATGAATTTACCTAAAAGGCCAACTGTAACTAGCGAGACAGGGTTCAGGTCCTCGACATGTTAGACAGCCTGGGGCACATTTGAGGCACCGAAACTTCTCGTCATACGAACTGCTCTTGTTCATCTGCATGTCCTTCCAAACAGCTGCAGGGAAAGCTCTCAATTTTATCGAATGACTACAAACACTGTCACAACCGTTTACAAGCTCAATAACATACCCTCAACGAGTTCTCCATCAAAGACAGCAGCTTCTCCATTTCTAATGGAAGTGATGGGACTATAAAAGCCCTCACGGCATTTACAGATATACGCACCTTTGACCCAACCAGGACCAACTGTTGCACCACCTCTACCTCTATTTTTACGTGTATGTGCTTCATTGTACACACACTGAATCAAATTATCCAATATTAATTATTAAAATTAGTGCATTTCCATACGAGTGCGCAAAAGTGATTTTGACACGAAAGGGTAATCGGTGGAAATATCTCGTATATTCAATCCACAATATTCGGTTTAGAATTTTTCAAATAGATAAAATCAAAAATAGATAAAACCAAAAATAGATAAAACCAAAAATAGATAAAACCAAAATTTCCGTGAACAGAAAATTGAAACAGAAATTGAAAGATAAGAACTTTTGAGAACAAATAAATTGCGTTGTATGCAGCTATCAATCAGTAATAATTAATTCGTCATATGATCCGTGAATATTTAAGACGCGAAAATTATGTAATTGAATTTCGCGGAA